ATTTCAATGAGCCGTTCCAGTGACATAAAATTACTTGTATTATTATTATTCTTATTATTCTTGTTATTATTATTGTTGTTGTTATTCTTGTTATTATTATTGTTGTTGTTATTATTATTGTTATTATTGTTATTGTTGTTATTATTATTTGTCATCTAGCTTGATTACACTCATCTTTAGACCTCCTAAAACCTCTCTCCTTTCCTCTGACTGTGTGAATCGACGTGTTGAGGCTTCGTCTTATAATCTGTCCTCTGTCGGGGCGACATCAGCCTCCAGCAGAACCGCTGGATCCGCTCCACTCTCACTTTATTCTGCTGCATTTTGAAACCCACAAATAGAACAAACACATCCAGCATACGGCTGTGATTCATCACGTCTTTACTGGTATCACTGTGATTATACCGTCGGCTGATGCTGAGTTTGGCGTCTGTCTGAATCATAATTATCAGAACTTTTCATGACGGTACCATCGGTGGACCGGCTCATGTTCTGTTTGTTTTTAAGAAACCAACAGAGAATGCAGAAGTGTCGTCTGCATGACAGCTGACAGCACGAAATGTACGACGGCATTAAAAACAGCAGGACTGAAGCGTGACCAGAGCCCCTGAATAAACTGACATCAATACTGGGTCCATGAAGCTGCCGCCTTCGGACCGGCTCGGACGCTCGGTTCTGAGGCACGTTCCTTCATTTCTGCTCAGCTGCAGCAGATTATGATTGTTGTTGTTGTTCTGTGTACGTGGGGCTGTACGCTCCTGTTGCTTTTTATATTTAAATGTTTACAGACATGAAGCTCATACGATCCCTCTGAACAGCTGCAATATGAAAATACTGCAAGTTTATACATTGGTCATAATATCCCAGTGATAAAATAAAATAAAATAAAATAACATAAAATATAAATATAGTATAATACAATATAATATAATATAATATAATATAATATAATATAATATAATGAAATATAATATAATATAATATAATATAATATAATATAATATAATATAATATAATATAATGAAATATAATATAATTTAATACAATAAAATATAATGTAATGAAATATAATATAATATAATATAATATAATATAATATAATATAATATAATATAATACAACATCTGTGCTTCTGATAATTTAAGAACATTTTGCTGGTAATGTTTTTAGAATGCAGGACTTCTAAGGTGGAATATGTTGACATCGTGGTTGCGTACTGAAGGAAGATCTGCTGCTGCACGACCGCAAAACACGTAAAACTAATTAAACTACATCATGGAGATCACATCTACAAGAAGACTTTCTCTGTTACACCGTTTTATGTCAAAATGTTCCTGCAGCCAGACGTAGAATAAAACACACAGGAAGTGCTCCACAGTCACAACCAAGGAGCAACAAACCAAACAACAGAACAATAAAGATCCACAACGCTGGTACAGCCCAACCCAGTGCTGCTCTGCACCAGTTCTCAGGGAGGACTTTCTGCTGAGGACACACTCGCTGGACCCGGCAGGCGTCCAGTTATTGTCAGAACTTGTGCTCATACTTGTTCCATTCGCTCCCTTCGCTGTGCAAAGGCTCCAGCCTGGTACCGTGTTGGTACCGTGTTGGTGCCGTGTTGGTGCCGTGTTGGTNGGGCAGATTTCTGTGACCCCGGCAACACATGACGGCTGAAATCTGATTGGATAAGAGCTCTGATACAAACACGCTGCTGGAAGCAGCACAGCCCAGAGACACTGTGAATGAAGAGAACAGATTGGTGGGAATAAAGTTAAAAGATTAATGGGAACATAAGACAACGTAGGTCAGTGGTTCTGATGAGTTCAGGCCGGCAGAGAAGGCCTTGCTGGTCCTGATGGACCACCAGTGCTGTGACACAACTACTGATCATCTTTCTGGTTAAGCATCTATCAGGTATTACAGTGAATAATCCACTATTCAGACGTTAGAAAGGTATTAAGTACCAAGCTGTTAAAACAGCACCATGCCCTGTTTTGCTGGTGTTGGTGCTTAAAGATGAGCGTGCTGTGGTGGAGGCTGTACTTCCTGTGAGCTGCCGGCCCGTGGGCCGGTGAGGGCAGCACTCGGCTTCACCTACTGCTGCTTTTTTTCTCCCATCGGCACAGCGCAGCTCGTGTAGAGACTAAAGACTACGGCTGCAAAGACAAGTGCTCCTGCTGACTGTCTACAGAATATCACTAAAGTAGATGCTAAAGAGTAAAACATGGCATCATTCTGCTAATCGGCCAACGTCAGAAAAGCCAGACACTGTGTGTGAAGCGTGTTTCACCTGCTCAGACATCTGTGGACACACATGGTGCAGGGAGTGAATGTGGTGGCTAACACGACAGCGTGCTAAACATCAGTAAAACAAGCGATTTGTTTTGTCAATCTGTTTGGGGACTTTGATGAGGCAATCAAGAGCAGTGATAGCTTTCTAAGTTAATTCTGTTAACTAGCTAGCCAGTGTGTCTCTATATGCAGATGCAGATTACTTCATGGTTTTGCGAACTGCTCAAACAACAGCATTAACAGTCTGCAGATCAACAACACCAGATGAAATGATCAGTTTAATTCCTGCAGAAGAGTTTAAAGTCCTGCTGCTGCTGATGTGGCGACCCTACAGCCATGTCAGCGTCATCCAGAGTCCTGGTTGGATGTTAGAGGATGAAGAGGCTGCGGGGCAATAATTCACTCCTGTTCTCTTATGGCTTCTGTTTACACACACACGTGTGTGTGTGTGTGTGTGTGTGTGTAATTAGTCGTAACAAAAGCAGTTTTATTCTGTTGCTTTACCTGATATTTNTCATCATCTTATGGGCTGATACTGATGCTCCTGTTAGATGTGACGTGTGTGGTTCTGATGGAGACGTGTTTAATGGTTGAACTGGTTTCCTGCTTCAGTGAGCTCCTTGTCTGCAGCGTCCTGTTCTGCTGCCGTTCTGCATCATACTGATGGTTTCTAAAGCTGTGGCGTCACAATGACGGTGTTCAGAGGTGGTTTGGTCCAGGCAGGAGGCCCCTGGAGGTCCAGGAGGAACCTGCCCGGCCCTCCACTGAATGATCATGACCAGTAAATCCAGGCTTTGTGATTTCTACGACTAACCTTCAATACAAATGCTTGTAAAATGACAAAGTGCGACAGTGTGCTCCATCCAACAACACCCACGCAGCACCGTGAGCAACAGCTTCAGAACATCACGTACAACACAGTGGTCAGCTTTGGTCACACCAGAACCAAGCTGCTGCTGGGTTTCTGTCAGGTACACTGTGCAGAGGAA